GGATGGCCACATAGCAATCCCTTCTCCATTCTCCTCTCGGGATTTTAGGCATGCACATATATGTGCCCAGCATGAGTTTTAAGCCAACAGGTCTAGGACTTGAACCGCAGCTCACCAACATAACCATTACACCATCTACTAGTCCCCATAGCGCTATTTTTAAACACTTTTCATGTTTTACTATTCTTCAGACGTATTATTTATTTTGATGGCTATATTTCCCTGCTCTGATAGTTAATAGTTTATTTAATGACTGAATTATAGATGCTTCACTGTTTCTAGCTTGGGTTTTATTATAAAACAAACAAAAAAATGGGCCAGGAGGTGTTGTAGTGGTTAAGGAGTTGTACTCCCATGTGATTGACTGTGGTTTGAGTTCTAGACCTGGTAGCTTAAAACTCACGTAGAGCATGTGTGTGTGTGTGTGTGTGTGTGTGTGTGCGCATGTCCAAAGTCCCAAGAGGAGAATGGAGGAGTAGGGAATGTGGTGTGGCCATCCCTGCCAGGGAGTGATCTTGCTTTCTGACTCTGTCTCTCCGGTGAGCACAAGCACCCTCTAGCAAAAATCTCTCAAAAAACAAGGGGCTAGCAGATGGCGTGGTGGTTAGGCGCTAGACTCCCACATGGTGGACCATAATTGGAGTACTGAACCTGGTGGCTTGAAATCACATTGGGAGTGTGCATGTGCATGCCCAAAGTCCTGAGAGGAGAATGGAGAAGAAGGGATTTCAGCATGGTCATTACTCCTGGGAGGTAATTTCTCATTCTCTCTCTTTCTCTCTCTCTCTCTCTCTCTCTCTCTCCAGTGAACACACACACCCTATGGCAAATAAATAAATAAATAAATAAATAAAACAAAAAAACCCTCTAAAAAACGAAATCCCCCAAGATCCCCAAAAACTAATTCAGTAGAGATCTTTGGCAACATTGCTTTTAATTTTTCTTTAATTATTTCTTAGTGCTAACATCCTAAAAGTTACAAGATTTCATTAGAAGACAGGGCTAATTTTATGTCTCTGTATAAACTATGTCATCAACATAATATAGTCTTCTCTGAGAAGACAGTAGCCACGTTCATAATAAAATGACATTTTATTCATATACACATATTCATATGTATAAGAATATTCTGCTTTTTTATTTCTAAAGATACACATGCTATACTCAAATTTTCTGCAAATCAGACCTCACTACCTATGATGACAATAGAGAACCCGACACCCTCACCGTAGACCTGTGAGCAGGGAACAGACGCGCCAAATCCATACTTACCACTTTGTTCTCTATGAGGTCACACACGATTTTGTTATTAAAGTACTCGATGGGCGTCCACCTTATCCCCTCCTGTACATATTCTTCCTGCGTGACAGAAACCAGGAACTCACATTATTATCCAGTCAGGACGAGGGGGAGTGCTATATGGATGGGGTGATCAAGGTACAGAAATCACCATGAGAGAGAAAAACTTGAATGCTTTTCAGCAAAAACTAGGAACTTTAATTTTTTCCAAGAGGCGCGAGAAAAGGAACATTTCATCATGTGATGACTTCGATGTTTAATTTGAAACATATGAAATTACTACCACGCAGTATTTTTGACCAAGAAAAGTGATGCTTAATTAATACAAGTTAGGGGCCAGCAGATGGCATAATGGTTACGTTGCCAGACTCCCACATAGTTGACCATAGTTCGAGTCCCGGACCCAGCAGCTTAAAACTCACAACAGGCGCACGTGCGTGCATGCTCAAGATCTCAAGAGAAGAATGGAAAAGGGATAGTGGTGTGGCCGTCCCCTCTGGGGGGTGATTTCTTGCTTTCTGTCTCTGTCTCTGTCTCTCTGGTGAGCACACACACCCTATAGCAAAAATCTTTCTCTAAAAAAAAAAAAAACAAGAAAAAATTAATACGAGTTAAACTAAGTCCATTTATAAAACACTATCTGAATTTAACGTAGGGTGGGAGTACAGATTAGCATCTAGGCATTTAAAGGGAAAGTCCTTACTCAGATTAGTTGCTCATGTAACTTAATAACACCACCGCACTGTCCTGGTTTTCATCCCTTCTCAGTGGTCTTCCTTTGCTAGCCTTTTTTTTTTCCTTTCCAGAACTTTTTACACGACAGAGAGTCTCAGAGCTCAATCCTCCAGCCTTTTTGTCTTATTAACCCTCCTTCTCCAGACAATTTAAATAAATTCCATGGTTTTAAGTAACACCTATAGGCTAACGACTCTCAGATCTATTTCTCTAGTGTAGACCTCCCCACTGAGTTCAAGACTCGCACACATTCCACCTGTTGGAACCTCCCCTTGGACATGTAACAGGCCTCTCCCACTTAACAGGTTCAGGGACGTTCTGACTCCCCGTCTCCCACTGTCTCCAACCGACTTCTCTAATCTGACTCTTTAGTAGAGTTGCACCTCTGACCCTGCTGGTCCAGCTGCGAGGTTACTATCATCCTGATTACTCTTTC